ATATATATATATATATATATATATATATTATAAAGCAAAACAACATCCAGTTCACTGTTTCAATTAACTGAGTTGACCTGAGATAATATGCATTAAGTTATAAGTATAAAGTTCTAAAAAAAAATAAGGATTAATATAAAGTTCTAATTTAAAGTTTCTCAAAAAAAGTTCTATATTAAAGTACGGTCATTGTAAAAAAAAAAACTAATTATACACCCAATATTCAATATCATAACTATAGATGAGTTATATAAAAATACTTGCAGGCCTAAAGAAAGAATTAACAAAACAAAGTTAATAAAAGACCCCATTTGGTATGAAATAAGTAACGAATATTAATAAATTGCATAATAATATATTGATAAAATTACCTTAGAATACAATTACTAGTATAATTAAATGCATGAATAAAGTCAATGATAGTATACTAATATTTATATGATAATAATTTGTCATTATAAATATTAGAAATAATTAATAATAAAAATTAAAAGCATTATTGAAAGTGTGAGATAAGAACAATATTTATTAGATAAAATAATATTAATATATAAGAAAAGTAAAATTAAAGTTTAACATTTTAATCTTAGGAATGTTAATAAATAAGTTGATTAAATTATTTTCAATTAAGAACTGAATTCAAAAAATACATTTTGATAAATTTCAATGTAAAAATTAATGAAATATGAGAATTTCAATTAATACCTTGCATAACATGATTAAAACAGTCAACGCATAGGCTATTCAATGCATTTGAAATTATTTTAAAATGTTAAATATTTATTATATAATTAAAATTTACATATTAAATATATATATATATATATATATATATATATTTAAAATTTGTACATATACATAATTTTAAACATTGATATTATATCTTATACTTCAATAAATAATTTATATTATAATACAAGATTAGTTAAAAAAATCAAAATTTAATTAAAAAATAAGTATAATATATAAAGAAACTGAATTAGAAAAAGAGGTTGAGAAAATATCTTAAAAACACTCTCACATAAGTTAATCATTTGCATTTAATATGGATGAGTGAATTTTTTTCGACAATGAATTTTCAAAGTCTACATAAAGGTTTGTATTTTAATTTTTTTGTGAATCAAAAATCAAAATATTCCTTAATTAAAAGTTAAAGATTAATCTTTTGAGTATCCAAATATTAAGATCTATTTAAGAAGTTAATCTCATCTAACAAATATTTTTCTATACACATAGATCAAGGATTAAATCTTAAACCATATGTTTAAGAGACAAAATCATGTATCAATTAAGATGGATTCTATTTTTAATTTAATGTGAGACGTCGAGTTTCAAAAAAAAATATATACTTCTTTTTAAAATAAAAATAATTAGAAATAAAAAATAATAATGATTAATTTAAAGAAAAAAAACTAGTTTGATTGAAGTACGAGAACCAGATGTGTGTCCTCACCTCATAGAGTTGCCCAAGATGAATCCTCTTTTTGGTTGGAGTTCTCTTCATATATTCAATCCTCCCAAAGTGCAGTTTGCGGAGGCATAACTTCATTCTGCACTTTACCTCAATTACTCAATTTTGGAGTATTATGATAGGCTTGGTTCCCTCACTATAAAAACATATATAATGAATGATTGACACCTATTTTCAATGTGCAATTCAATTCCTCAACAGCGGCTGGCTTCCTCTTCACAAAACAATTTATAGAGTAAGACTTTTATGTTTTATATCTTCCTATAATATTATTTATTCATGTTAGATTGTGAACCAAGTAGGAGAGAAAGAGGCCAACTTAGCAAGGGTATCAGCATATTCCATATAGGATGGTAGGAAGAAATCCCATGCTGCAACACATGGATGGCTGATAAGAAATGCAACTCAGATTAATTGATAAATTGTAGAAAAGCAAGGAGCTGAGCAAACAGGATCGTAAGATGACCTCAAAAACCAAGAATCTATTGAGTGATATGTCGGTGCAGTCTCGCAGCAGGTTCAGGTTGTTTTGTGTTGTTAGCAGCGTTATTGGCAGCAATGACTTGGATGAGTGGTGTTAACAATGTTACAGGATGCCCATTTAAAGACTTTTCCGTATTGCGAGCCAACAACAGGTACAAGCCTTGAGAAGCAATTGGCCAATCAAGCTGCACCGTCCTCCAAACTTGTTATACACTTGGCCAATCTCTCACCCATGTGAAGAATGGTCTTCTCCGCAGCTCCACACTGTGACAACAACCATGTATAGAGGCCCAGTGCCACCACCCATCAATCAACACATCTTTGATCTTCAACTGATATGGGCATAGTCCACCAGAATGCCGAATCCCTAGCCAAAGAACATCATATATCCAGCGATGTACAGGAGCAATGGGCAGTAGTAGCCTTGGCATCAACAAATGAACCCTCCGCAAGTATTTTTGTTGAAGCATCTGAACCCAAGCCTCATGAGGTTTATTCACAAGGCGACGTCCACACATGCTTTGGTTGATTTAAAGTATCCAACCCACCCAATAGGTGGATGGTTTGTCCCAAATATCATCTTTGATTAAACCCCTTTAATATATTTCTTTTTCGATAGATATTGTGTGTTCCTTATGTACACAATTGTCATAATCCAAAAGAAAATTATTAACAATTCCCATTTAACATACTTTTAAATGATTAGAAAATCAAATATGGCAATGCTTATATATCCTTGTACTATACATAAAATGCCAAATTAAAAGTAGAAAACTTAAATAATAAAAGCACAAAATACCAAATAAGTGCAACGAACGAACTTGACAACAACCGTAAACAGGCAAAAGATACCAACGGGGTATCCTGCCTTGTATTTGATAAGATATATATATATATATATATATATATATTAATTACTTTTATACGAATATATAATATAGAATATACTTCTCATATTTA